GTGTGGATGACAGGTTGATATCCTCAACAATGTTAGTGTGTGTGTGGATGATAGGTTGATATCCTCAACAATGTGTGTGTGTGTGGATGATAGGTTGATATCCTCAACAATGTTTGTGTGTGTGTGTGGATGATAGGTTGATATCCTCAACAATGTTAGTGTGTGTGTGGATGACAGGTTGATATCCTCAACAATGTTAGTGTGTGTGTGAATGACAGGTTGATATCCTCAACAATGTTAGTGTGTGTGTGTGAATGACAGGTTGATATCCTCAACAATGTTAGTGTGTGTGTGTGAATGACAGGTTGATATCCTCAACAATGTTAGTGTGTGTGTGTGAATGACAGGTTGATATCCTCAACAATGTTAGTGTGTGTGTGTGAATGACAGGTTGATATCCTCAACAATGTTAGTGTGTGTGTGAATGACAGGTTGATATCCTCAACAATGTTAGTGTGTGTGTGGATGACAGGTTGATATCGTCCACAATGTTAGTGTGTGGATGACAGATTGATATCCTCAACACTGCTGGTATGTGGATGACAGGTTGATATTGTCAACAATGTTAATGTGTGGATGACAGCTTGATATCCTCAACAATGTTAGTGTGTGTGTGTGTGTGTGTGGATGACAGGTTGATATCCTCAACAATGTTAGTGTATGTGGATGACAGATTGATATCCTCAACAATGTTAATGTGTGGATGACAGGTTGATATCCTCAACAATGTTAGTGTGTGGATGACAGGTTGATATCATCAACAATGTTAATGTGTGGATGACAGGTTGATATCCTCAACAATGTTAGTGTGTGGATGACAGGTTGATATCATCAACAATGTTAGTGTGTTTGTGGATGACAGGTTGATAACATCAACAATGTTAGTGTGTTTATGGATGACAGGTTGATATTGTCAACATTGTTAGTGTGTGGATGACAGGTTGATATCATCAACAATGTTAGTGTGTGGATGACAGGTTGATATCATCAACAATGTTAGTGTGTGGATGACAGGTTGATATCATCAACAATGTTAGTGTGTGGATGACAGGTTGATATCATCAACAATGTTAGTGTGTGGATGACAGGTTGATAACATCAACAATGTTAGTGTGTGGATGACAGGTTGATATCATCCACAATGTTAGTGTGTCTGTGGATGACAGGTTGATATCATCCACAATGTTAGTGTGTTTATGGATGACAGGTTGATAACATCAACAATGTTAGTGTGTGGATGACAAGTTGATATCATCAACAATGTTAGTGTGTGGATGACAGGTTGATATCATCAACAATGTTAGTGTGTGGATGACAGGTTGATAACAACAATGTTAGTGTGTGGATGACAGGTTGATAACATCAACAATGTTAGTGTGTGGATGACAGGTTGATAACATCAACAATGTTAGTGTGTGGATGACAGGTTGATATCAACAATGTTAGTGTGTGGATGACAGGTTGATATCATCAACAATGTTAGTGTGTGGATGACAGGTTGATATCAACAATGTTAGTGTGTGGATGACAGGTTGATATCATCAACAATGTTAGTGTGTGGATGACAGGTTGATAACATCAACAATGTTAGTGTGTTTGTGGATGACAGGTTGATATCATCAACAATGTTAGTGTGTGGATGACAGGTTGATAACATCAACAATGTTAGTGTGTTTGTGGATGACAGGTTGATATCATCAACAATGTTAGTGTGTTTGTGGATGACAGGTTGATATCAACAATGTTAGTGTGTGGATGACAGGTTGATATCATCAACAATGTTAGTGTGTGGATGACAGGTTGATAACATCAACAATGTTAGTGTGTGGATGACAGGTTGATATCATCAACAATGTTAGTGTGTTTGTGGATGACAGGTTGATATCAACAATGTTAGTGTGTGGATGACAGGTTGATATCATCAACAAATGTTAAATTGTTGTATTGACACTGTTGATATAAAACAATTTTTTATGTTGAGATGGCAGGTGTTAGATTAATCTTGTCTTAAATCGTTAGTGTTGTGGTACTAGGTTGATAACCCATAACTTGTTAGTGTGTGGATGCCCAGTTGAATATCTTCAAACTCAATGATTAGTGTGTGGAAAGGCTCATTATCACCCAAATTTGTGGTCGTGAAGGTCGATATATCAACATAAGGGTTTAAAGTTCAGTATTGACCCTTATCTGTTTTTAAAGGCTCGAGTATTTGTATTTACTGAAGATGGTCTTAAAGGCTCCAGTATGCAGCCATAATCTGTGGTCTTAAAGGCTCCAGTATGCAGCCATAATCTGTGGTCTTAAAGGCTCAGTATGCAGCCATAATCTGTGGTCTTAAAGGCTCCAGTATGCAGCCATAATCTGTGGTCTTAAAGGCTCCAGTATGCAGCCATAATCTGTGGTCTTAAAGGCTCCAGTATGCAGCCATAATCTGTGGTCTTAAAGGCTCCAGTATGCAGCCATAATCTGTGGTCTTAAAGGCTCCAGTATGCAGCCATAATCTGTGGTCTTAAAGGCTCCAGTATGCAGCCATAATCTGTGGTCTTAAAGGCTCCAGTATGCAGCCATAATCTGGGTCTTAAAGGCTCCAGTATGCCAAGCATAAATCTAGTGCGTCTTTAAGGCTCCAGTATGCAGCCATAATCTGTGGTCTTAAAGGCTCCAGTATGCAGCCATAATCTGTGGTCTTAAAGGCTCAGTATGCAGCCATAATCTGTGGTCTTAAAGGCTCCAGTATGCAGCCATAATCTGTGGTCTTAAAGGCTCCAGTATGCAGCCATAATCTGGTCTTAAAGGCTCCAGTATGCAGCCATAATCTGGGTCTTAAAGGCTCAGTATGCAGCCATAATCTGTGGTCTTAAAGGCTCCAGTATGCAGCCATAATCTGGTCTTAAAGGCTCCAGTATGCAGCCATAATTGGTCTTAAAGGCTCAGTATGCAGCCATAATCTGTGGTCTTAAAGGCTCCAGTATGCAGCCATAATCTGTGGTCTTAAAGGCTCCAGTATGCAGCCATAATCTGTGGTCTTAAAGGCTTCAGTATGCAGCCATAATCTGTGGTCTTAAAGGCTCCAGTATGCAGCCATAATCTGGTCTTAAAGGCTCCAGTATGCAGCCATAATCTGGTCTTAAAGGCTCCAGTATGCAGCCATAATCTGTGGTCTTAAAGGCTCCAGTATGCAGCCATAATCTGTGGTCTTAAAGGCTCCAGTATGCAGCCATAATCTGTGGTCTTAAAGGCTCCAGTATGCAGCCATAATCTGGTCTTAAAGGCTCCAGTATGCAGCCATAATCTGTTGGTCTTAATTGGCTCCAGTATGCAGCCATAATCTGTGGTCTTAAAGGCTCCAGTATGCAGCCATAATCTGTGGTCTTAAAGGCTCCAGTATGCAGCATAATCTGGGGTCTTAAAGGCTCCAGTATGCAGCCATAATCTTTTGGTCTTAATAGGTTTTTCCATTGAAAATGCAGCCAATTATTGTGGTTATTAAAGGCTTCAGTTATGCTAACCATATTTTGGGTGTAATTAAAGGATCTAGTATAAAAAAGCATTATCTGTTGGTTTCTTAAAGGCTAATGAGCTATTATTTTGTGGTTTTCTTAAAAGGCCGTCAGAGCAAAGCCATAATTGTGGTCTTAATTGGCTCGTCACATAACAGTCTAAGCTGGGTATTATATGTCTTCTCAGTAAACTTTAATCCCTGTGGTTCTTAATTGGTGAGGAAGGAGGCAAGGGGATCAATAATAGGCTCCAGGATGCGCTTCAAACTGTTGTTTGAGTTCTTTTTCTTAGTTATAAGTTTTTTCAGGGTTGACTAACTGTTGGATAGGTCTTCAAGATATTTAGGGGATTACCGTTATATAGTTAAATTTATTGAAGTTAGTGTAACAATTATCCTGGTGAAGTGTGTTAAAGGAGGGATAACATTACCTAGTGGGAATTAAATTTCACTTGAAAGGGTTAGGCTTTTCCCTTTGAGAAGTAAAGAGTATTTTTTGTTATGTTCTGGATATTTTTGAGGTAGAGGACAGTGCTGCACAGAGTGAGAAAATTTCCGGGATGAATTAAAGAGATATTTTTAACGGAAGAGGGTTATTGGAGTTGCTAATGTCCACTTGTTACAGGTTTATGGATTTTTTATGTTTATCTGTTAGTTCAGGTAAACATTATGTGCACCTAAGAGGTGTTCTTAAGGGGTGGAGAAAGTGGATGGGAAGGGGAATAATGAAAAGGGTCACTGGATGAGGGAATGGTCTTGGAAATTCCAACACTTGTGAGTGATGTCCTTTAGTAATTGAGTTGTGGATACGTTGTTTTTATGATTTGCCTTATTTGGGAGAGTAGGTAAACTGTTTAATGATGAATTTGGGGGGAGTTCTGTTAGTCAGTGATGAGGTTAGTGATGAATTTGAAGGATGGATGATACTTATCCTGGAGTTGGAGAGTACTGTTCACCCTAAGGATGGTTTAGTGATTATTGGAAGATGGGGAGTATGTGTTGTAATGAAGGTTGTAAGATGTGGAATTATTGGTGGGTTTTGAGAGGTAAGTGATGACCTGGAGTATGTGAGAACATGTTTCTGTTAGGTGTGGGGTTTAAGTCTGATGAAGGATGGATGTTAGCATTACTGGTAGGTAATGATGTCAGTGATGATCACTGTTAGAATAGATGGGGATGTTCTGTTAGTAATGATGGGAAAGATGGGTTATAAATGAATGATGGTGAATGGTTGTTGCCTTGTTGTATGATGTGTTTATGATGATCTGTTTTATGTGTTTATGTGGATAGTTGTATGAGGGTGTCAAGTATTGATAACTTTAGATGATGTTGTTCCCAGGTGAATGTAGTTGTGGATGAGGGAATGGTTGAGGTTAATGAGAAACTGTTCACACTGAGACTGAGAAGATGTTCCTTAGGAAATTGGGAACTTTTAAAGTGATGATTCCTGTTAGTAATGATGTGGTTAGTGATGTTTACTGTTATTTAATGATTGGGTTAGTGATGATACTGTTAGTAATGATGTGGTTAGTGATGATACTGTTAGTAATGATGAGGTTAGTGATGTTACTGTTAGTAATGATGTGGTTAGTGATGATACTGTTAGTAATGATGATGTTTGCAGTGATACTGTTAGTAATGATGATGTTAGTGATGATACTGTTAGTAATGATGAGTTTAGTGATGATATTGTTAGTAATGATGAGGTTAGTGATGATACTGTTAGTAATGATGAGGTTAGTAATGATGTTAGTGATGATATTGTTGGTAATGATGAGGTTAGTGATGATACTGTTAGTAATGATGAGATTAGTGATGTTTCTGTTAGTAATGATGAGGTTAGTGATGATATTGTTAGTAATGATGATGTTTGCAGTGGTACTGTTAGTAATGAGGGGTTAGTGATGATACTGTTAGTAATGGTTTATGAGTTTTAGTGATGTTCTGTTAGTAATGATGGGTTAGTATTTTGATGAGGTTAGTGATGATACTGTTAGTAATGATGGTTTGATAAAGTTAGTGATGATACTGTTAGTAATGATGTTGTTAGTGATGTTTTGTTAGTAATGATGAGGTTAAAGTAAGGGATACTGTTATGTGATCATTTTATGTGAATTTCATAGGAGTTTTGTGATGCTAATGTTAGCTCCGGGATGAGGTTAGTGATAATAAATGTTATTTGATGTGTTAGTGATTAAATATTGTTGTAATTGAAATTATTTATGTCTGTTAAAGGTTATGATGATAGTAGGTTTATTAATTAGTGATGATCATAGTTATGATGAATCATGTTATTATTATACTAGTGATCATAGTTATGATTAATCATTGTTATTATTAAATACTAGTGAATCATTTATGAATCATCATGGTCATTATTAAATACTAGTGAGTCATAGTTATGATTCATCATGGTCATTATTAATACTAGGGAGTCATAGTTACGACTCATCGTTGTCATTATTAAATACTGGTGAGTCATGGTTTATAAAACCAACAATGTGATAATGAGACGATATTTTAGAGAAAAAATTAACTCTGTGCATCAGGGTTTATTTATAAGTCATTTATTGACTTGAAGAAGTCTGTGTAAGAGTTTTTCTTTCAGTAAACAAATGATTTAAGACGACATGATATCATCTTGGTAAAAATTGTTTTTTTTTTTTTAAACATACCAGCCATGTCCCACCCAGGCAGGTGGCCTGAAAGAGAAGAGATGCCCTCATGAGGGCTTTCTTCCTTTTACATCAAGTAATTTATGCTGGAGAAGGTGTTACTAGCACCTTGATTTTGTGTTTATAAATATTGTTATGACAGTCAAACAAAGTTCAAGAGTCAAGTGCAAGCAAAGTCCTGACACACACTTATTTCTTGATTATCCATTATTTTTGATAGTTGTCCTGGATTTTAAGAGGAAATTGAACTCTTGTATTGTAGGAGAACAATGCAGTAGTGAGAACGTTTGGAGAGGAAAGCAAGAAAAAATACTCCCACGTTGATCTCATCTCCATGATCGGAGGATCAGACTCAAAGCGGGGATCTGTTACATCAGGTTTGTCTAATTTTTCTCCTGTTGCTTATACTGTACTTAAAAAAGACATAAATTTTGAGGTTGTGCAGTACACATGTTGAGAGAGAACTGTGTTAATGTTGTGAATGAAAGCAAGCTGGTGGTCCTAGCACTGAGTGAACACATTACAAGGAATAATCGTTTGAGTGAAGAGGATACCTCTAGGATACCAGAAGGACATTTTCAGAAGTTAGTGCCCTCAGACCTCGTCCCAGACCTGACTTCCTGGAGGATCAGTGCCTCAGCATCCAGGCTGTTACTGCTGGCTGTACGTAGTCCAACATATGAACCACAGCTTAGCTGGTCAGTCACTGATTTAAGGAACTTGTCCAGGTCCCTCTTAACGACCACTGGAGGATGGTAATTGCCTGTATGCATGAAGGGACGGCATTGAATACTTGGGTACCTCTGACTTAGAGCTCTATCTTAGTGAGGCATTTTGCACCATCTGCCAAGTCTCTTGTCATAGTAAGTGATTTAAGTGTTTAGGTTTGGGACCAGTCACTCCAGGATTTTCCAGGTGTAAATTATTATGTACCTTTCTTGCCCACATTCCAAGTAATACAGTTGAAGGGACTTGAAGTGTTCCCAGTAGTTTAGATGCTTGATTGACCATATAAGAGCTGTGAAGATTCTTGGTACATTTTCCAACTCGACAGTCTTGCCTTGAAGGGGCCATCAGTATACAGTCAGATGTAGAGAGTAGTAAAGAAGAGGTAGCAGTAATGTTAAGTGAGCAATTGTGGAAAGAAAAGAAGTGTTACAAAGACTCAAGAAATCGTAATGACACGATTGCAAACAAACCATACCACGGGCGGGATTAACCCGTGGTCAGAGAGTCTCAAAACTCCAGACCATCGCGTTTTGAGACTCTCTGACCGCGGGTTCAATCCTGCCCGTGGTATGGTTTATATGTTACAAATGTTGAAATTCGTGAATTAATGAGAATAAAAGTAGGATATGAGAAGTGGGTTTCATAAATTGTCATAACTGAATTATGTATAGAAAGAAGCTTGTTAATAGGTAGTTTTTACCACAGGAAATATTAATATGTGAGGTACAATGAAGTGCACAGTGATAGCTGTTTGTCAGACTTTTTATTGGATAGACCTTTGCATGTACATATTTTTAGGGAAGTGACTCTTATTTCATATCATTGTTTGAATGGTGAATGTGTTTCCTTTGTGGTCACCCTTCCCTGGTGGGAGAATATCCATGTGGGAAAAAATTGATAGTTCTGAACCAATAGTTATAGTAAAAGGCAGGTGGAATGTAAGGGAGAAGTGAAACTGGAAAAAATAATGAAGAGAACAATTAGTGAAGGATATGAGCAAGTATTGAGTGAAAGGTTGGTTTGAGTTGCACAGTCTTGGTACATCACATACAGTGGAATCCCGGATTTCGTCCTTAATCCGTTCCAGAAGGTCGGTCTAAATCCAAAACGGATGAAAACCGAAGCAATATTTCCATAAGAAATAATGTAAATACAATTAATCCATTCGAGACACCCAAAAATATTAAAAAAAATATATTTTTTAAAGAATAACTATTGCTTACATACAGAAAGCAATGAGAAAAAAATATAAATGACTAATGAAATGGATAAATGAACACTTAACATCACACTCACCTTTATTGAAGACTCTTGTTGGGGTATGGATGGCGAGGAGGGGAGAGGGAGGAGGAGGAGCAGAGGTTATTGTTTGGAAGGGGAGTCCCCCTCCATAAGGACTTCAGGTATCAAAGCCCTATCTGGGGTTACTTCCCTTTGTCTTATACTGGCACTGCACCCCTGTCACACTAAAAATCTGTCCAGAGAGCTCTGTTTCTGGCATCTTTTTAAGATTTGCCTAAAATGGGACAAGGTATTGTCACTGAAAATGTTGCAGATACGGCTTGTATCAGCTTGGTCGGGTGATATTTTTCCACAAAAGTTTGCACCTCATTCCACTTTGCACAAATGTCTTTAATCACTGAAGAAGGCACCTTCTCCCCTCTCTCTTTTTCCTCCTCTGAAGCAATTTCCTCAGCTGTGGTCTGTTGCTGTTCCAGTTGAAGGTCTTGTAGCTCTTCAGTGGTTAGCTCTCCCCTGTGGTCCTCCAACAACTCTTCCACATACTCGCCACTCACATCCAACCCCATGGACTTCCCCAAAGAGACAATAGATTCCACAACAAGCATAGGGTCAACAGGGTCAGCCTCAAACCCTTCAAAATCTTTGTCAAGGACACATTCTGGTCACAATTTTCTCCAAGCAGAGTTCAAAGTCCTGGAAGTCACTCCTTGCAAAGCCTTACCTATAAGGCTTATGCAATGGAGGATCTTAAAGTGATTCCTCCAGAACTCTCTTAGGGTCAATTCAGTGTCCGAGGTCACTTAGAAATGACCTGCTGGTCCATGGGCTGGATGAGAGGAGTGGTGTTAGGAGGCAAGAAGTTCACTGTTATAAACCATACATCCTGGCGAGCTCAGCCACATGCACGCCACTTTCATATTTTTCTACAATCTCTTTCTTGAATTCTATCATGTTTCTCACCTTCTTTACCAAAGGGCTGGCACTAGGAACTTTTTTGGGCCCATGGTGGCTTATTTAGCAGTTGCACTCGATAAACAAGCACAAAAACAATGAATTATTATGAAATGTTTCGGATGAACACTCCCTCAACCAGTGACAGAGCCAGACTGAGACACATACCCTGGGCGGGTGGAAACGCATCTGATACGAATGATTTCCAGGATGAGGTATGAAATCCGGAGCAAAATTTCGCCAAAAAAATGGTCGAAATTTGAATTGTACGATATCTGGTGCAGATGAAATCTGGGGTTCCACTGTATCTCACTTGTCTGAGAGTTATCAGTCACCTTTTTCAGCCTAGTCACCTTCACTTCTGAGAGTTGTCACCTCTCATCTTCTGAGAGCTATCAATCTTCTTTCTAGCCTGATCAATGGATCTTTTTATTAAATTGTTTTATTATTAAGTATGTTCTGTATAACCTTACTGCTGCTTCCTTACTTCATGCTTTTAATTCTGGTTCTATTTCTTTGTTTCTTCTTTATTCATGTGTAAGGTGTCTCTCTGCCATTTTCAAGATTATTTGTTTTTCTGAGCTTTTCATCCACGGATATTGATTAACCAGGTGTTGTACACTGCTTCTGTATGTTGTATTAACGGTTGGTGAACCTGCATCATGCTGTTTATTTGGTGTCATGATATGTTGTGACATGCTACTATTGTATTAATTGTTGGTTGACTGAACAGGTGTTGTACACTGTATCTTACTGTATTATTGTTGGCATGAACATGTATTATTACGTGATCAACTGTATTATTGTTGGGACATGTACCACTGTTTATACGTTGCTTATACCTGTTTACTGTTATCATATGCATGTTTTTGTTAGTGCTTTATACTGGTATTGTTGCTGACATAACCAGGTGTTGTTACTGCTTATCTGTATTAAAGTTGGTGACATGGACATATGTTGTACACTGTCATGCTGTAATATTGTCGTGCTGGATAAGTGTTGGTGACATACCTGCATACTGTATTATGCTTGTGACATGAATTGTTGTAACAGTGCTTTCATGCTTTAATTATTTTGGTGGGTATGAACCAAGGGGTTGTACACTGCTTTATGACTGTGTTATTGTTGGTGACATGAACCAGGTGTTGTACCATGCAGTATTATGTTGTGTGAATTGGTGGGGTTAACTCATCATGCTGTATTTGTTCGGGCTGTTGTACACTGCTGCATACTGTATTATTGTTGGTGACATGACCAGGTGTTGTACACTGCTTCATGCTTGTTCTTGTTGGTGACATGAACCAGGCATTGTACACTGCTTCATACTGTATTATTGTTGGTGACATGAACCAGGTGTTGTACACTGCTTCATACTGTATTATTGTTGGTGATATGAACCAGGTGTTGTATACTGCTTCATACTGTATTATTGTTGGTGACATGAACCAGGTGTTGTATACTGCTTCATACTGTATTATTGTTGGTGACATGAACCAGGTGTTGTATACTGCTTCATACTGTATTATTGTTGGTGACATGAACCAGGTGTTGTATACTGCTTCATACTGTGTTCTTAGTAGGTACAGACTACATACTATTAAAATTTCTTTACCTTTCCTGTTAAAAACTAGAATTATTTGGTGGTTAACCAAGTGAAGTTGATTTCAGTGTTTCTCCAGTTTGCCATGTTCTTGAACCAGGTTTGCCAGTTTTCCAGTTTTTGTTAGGTGTCTACCGGTTTTGACAGTGTTTCTCCGGTTTGCCTGTGTTTCTCCAGGTTTGCAGTGTACTACTCCAGTTTCTGTGTTTCTCTCGGGACATTGCCAGTGTGCTCTCATTGCCATGTCTTTTTCTTAGTTTGGACAGGTCTCTCCCATTTTTCCAGTGTTTTTTCACAGGTTTGCCAGTGTTTCTCAGTTTGCAGTGTTTTTCCCAGTTTTGCCAGTGTTTCTCCCAGGTTTGCCAGTGTTTCTCCCAGGTTTGCCAGTGTTTCTCCCAGGTTTGCCAGTGTTTCTCCCAGTTTTGCCAGTGTTTCTCTCAGGTCCTCACTTGAGGTTATTCCATGATGTGCAGTGTATCTACTACAGTTTGCAAATGTAAATCCATACTTGTGCCGGTGCCCGATTGGCAGTGTTTATACCAGTAATAGTGTTCAGGTTAATGGTCATCAGGTTTACCTAGTTGTTCGCTTTCCAGTGCTTATCTCGGTCTTTAGACTATTAAGGTAGCTAGGGAGCTGATTACGACAGTATAAATTAAATAGCGGTCAGTGCCGATGAAGGTTAGCTAGGAGCATGATACGGACGTGGAGTAGGTTAGGTTAATGGTAGGAGTAGAGTACACAGGTGTTATGTGATGGATGACCGCAAGCAGTTTAGTGAGTGGGAACACTGTGTGGTATCAATGTAGGGCCGGCTGGAGAGCCTGCTGACCCCTTGGCCGGGTGAGGTACAGA